CACTATGAAACATCACCACCACCACAATGCTGTGATGGCCTTTAACAACTACATAGTGCTGTGGCATTCATCACAGTAGGCAGAAGGAAGTCCCTGACTATAACTTTCTTCAGCCAGTTTCTACTTCTCATTGCTGTTCAGTGCTGTTGAGTCAGTTCCAAACCATAGCAACCCTTTAGAGGATTTTTGAGGAGCAGTTGGTAAGCTTGAACCACTGACCTTTCAGTTCAAAATGGCTTTGCAGTCCACTGCATTAACTCACAGTGCCACACCAGAACTCCAGTTTCTACTTGTCATGTGCCGTGGAGTCGGTTCTGACTCATAGCAACCCTGTACAGGGTTTCTGAGGCTGTAAATCTGTACGGGAGCAGAAAGCCTCATCTTTCTCCCGCAGAACAGCTGTTAGTTTCGAACTGCTGACCTTGCGGTTCACAGCCTGATTTGTAACCACTGTGTACCAGAGCTCCGTAGGACTATGGATTTCAAACTAAAACACTTAAGAAAACTGTCTTTGTAGTCTAAGAGCTACGTTTCAATGATAATAATAATATTTAACATGTACTAATTTATTAATAGACATTTGTTATCATTTGCTTACACACAGAATCTTCACAACTACCCTGAAGGTTTCAGGATAACTAGTGTCCCTCGGACTGCTAACCTTAAAGTCAGGAGTTCGAAACTACCAGCCGTTCCACGGGAGAGAGATGAGGCTTTCTGTTCCTGTAAAGATTTACAGCCTCAGAAACCCTCTGCAGGGTTGCCATGAGTCAGAACCGACTCCACGGCACATAACCAGCACTCTGTAGGTAAAAAAACTAAGACATACAGAGATTTAGTAACTTGCCAACAAAGCTGGGACTGAAATTCATGTTTGGGTTTTTAATTTATTGAGATTTACATAATTAAATCAATATAAGGTGAACAATTCAATGGCATTTAGTATAGCCACAATGTTGTGCTACTACCACCTCTGCTTAGTTCCAATGCAGTCTCATTCCTTCCCTTAGTCCTCCTTCCCTTAGTCCTCCATCCCCAACCTCGGGCATCTACCAACCTGCATTCTGTCTGTGGACTTACGTGTTCTGGGGATTTCACAAATGGATCCATGGAATATGTGAACTTTTGTGTCTTGCTTAGAACTCAGGGTTTTTTTTTCTTAAATGTTTTATTGTGAATTATGTGATAGTTTACATGGGAGAACATTAATTTTACATTCATTCTATTGTATATAGTCTCATTGCCATGGTTACAATCCCCTCCATGCATTATCAACCAACCAAAGGGTATACCTTGCAATCCT